GTACTCTCATAGTAGTGTCACTTGCATTGTATTAATACACTAAATACACAATAATAATTTGCAAACGTCTCGTCACATTTGACAAGGTAAACTCTTAAACACAATTTAAACATAGTTGAAGCATAACTTTCAACAATTTCTATGATATAAAGTTAATTTGACAATTATGCATCTTTAATACTTTTCCATCTAATAAATAAAACTTTACATAATCAAATGTTTAGAAAGAACTAATTTACATGCAAAACTCTACACGACGCAGCATCAAGCTGCATTAATCTGTCCTCTTGCTGTTTGCATGTTATCGCTGCATTATGACTCGAACTGTGCTCAAAGATGCGCAACAGAAACTAAACTGATCCTGCTACAGCTCTGAGGGTCTGCACAAGCATTTCTCTAGAAAACAGTTGCATGCACGGAGGCATATAAACAATTTTTAATCTATCAAGTGCTATCCAGGTAAGCAAACTTATTCTTAAAGAGCACGATGCTCACTGCAACAGCAAAAGTGTCGAAATAAATCCATTTAGATATTGCTATGAAACCTTGCTCCATACATACAAAGGTTTGATCCGTGAGAACTGGGTCGCTTCATTCCTGTGGAAATCCTCTTGTCCAAACCAGTAAGCATGCACAACAAGCCATTCACAGGCTGCACTTTCACACACAAGGAGTCAACGATGCGCTGCATTGCATACACACAGGAAACCAATACGTTTCCTGTGTGTATTTAAGACAGTGAAGTAAATAATTGTTTTTATCAGCAAGTAGAGGGGGGGAGGTCAACACGTTTGATTCTCGACAAACATCATATGCTGCGTTTACAACTTGTACTGGACACTAAACTTGGGTTTGCCACATAACTGCTCTAAATATAAAGAGCAGAAGGGTGATGAATTAAAGACTTAATATTAAAATGCTTCATTACTAACCCGACTAATACCTCCACTTCCTTGGTTTGGACGGAGTAAGTGACAAAACATTTGACTTCAGTTACTGGAGACCACTGCTGTCTGAACTGGTTCTGTGCATTTCAAAAAAATATCCGTTTACATTAACACCATGGTACTTGTTACTTTTTTATTTTCCTTAAATATCTATTGATACTTTTAAAAAAATGCACGTTAAGAGATTTACAAGTTTAAGTTTTATGGTGTTTAAAGCATTAATGCTTTTGTTAAAACTAGATGAAATCTTAAGAGTTATGAAAGAGTGACAATCTTTCAGCACACCAGCTGCTCAATGTTTCAAGATGTGCTTTTCATAGGTGGAGGTCTAAGTATTGATCACACCAGTTATTGTCTTTATTCATTACCTGACCTAAAGTCATGTGCACATTTACCGTACCTGCATTTCTGCCCATTAACTTACCAGTATTTTGTTGTTCTAGGTGAAGTTATATCCTAACATAACAAATCCAAGACTAAACATGTCTAATGACAATAACAAACCCACCCCTCCATCTTTACCCGCTTCTTTCTTTTCAGGTCACGGGGGTCACTGGTGCCCATGTCCAACTATCAGTGTGCGAGAGGCGGGGGACACCCTGGACAGGTCTCCAGTCCATCACAGGGACACAGAGACAAACAACCATTCACTCTCTCACCTAAGAACAATTTAGTTACCAATCAGCCTAACATTAGGGGTGCACCGATAAATCAGCCGGCCGATTTATCGGCCCCGATATCCTTAATTTTGGGAGATCAGCCGATACTTAGATGAGAGACCGATTTTTAGCCCTTTTTTTTTTTTTTTTTTGTAGTTTTAACAATTGTCTAAACTTCATTTATTTTTCAGAGCACTACCTCATGGCCAGTTAAAACAAAATTGTATTGTTTCTAGGATATTAACTCAACCTTTATTTAGACAGGTAAATCCCATTGAGCCTCGAGGACTCATTTACAAGAGACGTGATTTCAACAAAGGATGATAATGGATGACAACAATAGACAATTATAAAAAGGCATCTATATATTTAGTATATAAAATATATATGTATATATATATATATATATATATATACATATATATTTACAAATTAAAATAAGATGGCAAAAAAAGTAACAAAAACAGCTGGATTATAAGGTGACACCACTTGCTCTCGCCGAGATCGGATGCTTCCCTCCCTCCCTCTCTGCTTTGCTGCTGTCTGTGAAACTGCTGTGAGACTCTCTTGCATTTATTCCGAACCATAATTATGGACTGTTTTTTGACCAGTTGGTCCCTCAACTCAATTTACAACATTTCTTCGAAGAGAAGACAGGCTTTAGGAGAGCCGATTTGCCCTGTTGGCACGCACGCAGCTGGATATCTCATCGACTTGAAGACTTGATGATGTGTCTATCTCTGCTGCCATCTGTGGATTTTAAGGACGTGTATTTAATTGGATTTTCGATAACTGGTTCCTGCTATTTTGGATTCAGTTGGTTACTGGTTTTATCTACAATCAAGGAAGTCGTCGGCAGCAAATTTGGACCTGATCATGCTGCTTGCCTTTTTGATGGCTTGGTTCGTGTCTTGTGTACCCAGACTCAAATGGTTTGGGCTGAATGGATCAGATCTTGGGGATTTTACTCAGTCACGTTCCATCGGTGTGGCCATGTTATTTTGGACATTTCTGAACCATTTGGACCAACACAGACTCAAGGTAGATGTCATTAAGTTCTGCCTGTCCCCAAAACAACCGTGTGTTTATCTAAGTTGGCTCCCTTGGCTGGTCTTGAAGGCCATCTTATCTGAATTCGCCTGGAGAACATGTGATCTGACACTCACCACCCCCTCCCTGAGGAATTTCCAACTGATAACCAGATGAATCCAGCTGAATAAACTTTGTCATCATTTCAGGACTTTTGGATTCTCATAGACTTTATTCTTGGCCATTCCTCGACATACCTCGAGAATGTTTATGGATCTCACCGGAGGACACGGACTGATTACAATGACCTCGAGAGCATCTATAAGCGTTGTTGACCGCTCTCGTCTCCGATTGCAGAACATCTACGTAAATATGTGCTTGTTTGTGCGAGGTCTTTTTTAAATATTGGTATAAGGTTGAATGAAAAAAGAAAAGTAAAAACAGGAACATGTCTGCGTTGGTTTGTGCCAGGAGTCCAATAGATTCTTAAAGCCACTTAGAGAGGTCAAGGTCAAGAGCTTCAGATGTTTTTGCAAGAAGTTCCAGGAAACGGGAGCGGAGTTGGAGAAGGTCCTTTTGCCAAGTTCAGTCCTCACTGAGGGAACACTGCAGGTAATGATGTCCTGAGTTCACATGCAGTAGCTGCACTCACGCAGAGACATATTGTTCAAGGGTAAGTTTTCCAACAAAATAATATTGGAAAACTGAAGGTGCATTGTGACCTTAGAACACCTGACACCGTCGTTTATAAAACAAAATCAGTATTGGCCAAAATCGGAATCAGGCTTTTTAGAGATCGGTGATCGGTCAGAAAACTGCAATCGGTGCACCCCTACCTAACATGCATGTTTTTGGTCTGTGGGAGGAAACTGATGCAGCACGGAGAGAACATGCAAACTCTAACCCAGAAAGGCCCGGGCTGGGATTTGAACCAGCGACCTTCTCACTGAGAAGCAACAGCTTTACAAACTGCACCATCGTGCTGCCACACACAAATCATTTTTTAATCTATGAATAAATTGTATTTAATATTTAATTCTGCAACAGACCTTCACATCCTCTCTGAACTTCAGAGGCAGTGCAGCCGTGTTTAGATGTTACATTAGCTTAACCTCCCAAACGGCTGTTTTGGCTGCAGCTGTGAAGGCGCTGGTCTAAGTCGGTCGAGTGAGGCTTGAAGGTGTGTAGTGAACTAGGCCTGAGGTCAATTAGCCATGTTGTTATTTTCCAATTTGCCAATTAATGTAAATGTATGATGTTAAAATTTTGATTCTGAAAATAAATGACCACGTTCATTTTGATGGGTCAAAGATAATTAACGTCTCACGTTACATTTTTATTAAATTCAATGCACGTTATTATACAGTCCAGAAAAATGAAAGAATCCGTTTAATTTATGAATATATATCATGCATATGTTCATTCTACAGGTGAACACGGCTTCGCTCTCCCCAGATGTTAAAGTAAATGTTTCTACAAGAAAGTTTTCCAGTTTATGTTGTGCTTCATGAAGCCAGGTTGATAAAAGAGTGATGAATAGAAGTTTAGCGTCATAAAAAACTCTGCAATTTTTTTTAAACTTCTTTAACAAAGGAGGACCAGATTTAACTTTTTCAGATTTTTCTACCTGGATTATTGAGCATGCATCAGGATATTCTTTAACAAACTTCAATATTGAAGCTTTTAAGTTTTTAATCAAATTTCTTTAGACATGAAGATTATTTATTCTGTAATGATGGACTTGTGATTAAATCTGAACTCAATTTAAAAAAATTGTTTTGGCAAGTTAATAAAATAATCACTTGCGTACATTAAATTAATTTTGTTTAATTGTTCCAAAAAATAATCAAGATTGGCATCGCATTATGTCATGTTTGCACAGATTGCTGAACACAGACCAAACAACTGTTTCCCAGAAATAATGACCACAAATTTAACAGGAAACACTTTATGTATGAGATCAAACAAAATTACAAACTTGAAATATGTCAAGAGTATTCAGGATCATTACAGCAAAGAAAAAAACCTGCCATAATCATTTCTGCACAATGACTAGCAAAGACACGATTGTACAACTACAGTAAAATTAAAACGAAAATATTGTTACTGGTGTGCAACTTAGAAATTACCATAAGAAGCTTCACTGGCCTAGTAATAAAAATAAAAACTAAAAAAGCTAGTAAACACTCATGTTTTCACACTATTATAGAAAAACTACCTTGTAGAACATAAACTGGGATGGATTTTAATCCCTTTTGGAACAACAGCTAACAGTCAACTCTGCAACAAATCGTTACAAACTAAATGTAGACTTTACAATATCATCACACGACTTTAACGTTTGTCAGAAAAAACTCGGTTTTGTTTACATACTGAAGTTTTCACTAAGAGAAACCTTTTCCAGCCATGAACCAAAACCCTGCTGACACAGGTATGCACGCAGCACGTTCTTCGCCTCCTGGTACGTCTTCGCCATCTTCTTCAGAGACACAAAACAATAAAAGTAGTACAAATAAAATCAATACTTGCAAAGTATTTTTCTTAAGTGTAATGCCAGGAGAGCCATTTCATTCAAAATTAAATAAATAGTGTTATTTTAAATTATTAATAAATATTCCATTAAATAAATAAATGTTCCCATGAAAATGTAAATAGTGTAAATGTAAATAAAAATGGTAATTTTTTTTCCCTCCCAAGATGTTTTATTTTATTTTATTTCAAGATTTATTTATTTAGTTATTTAATAATGGAGTTTCATTTTGTGTAGGGCTGGGTATTGTTAAAAAATGTTGATATCAGTACTGGTGGCAGTTCCTTCACTCAGGCTGTTTTCACACCTGATGGTCCGGTAGACTCGGTTCGGTTCGGGACCAACATTCATGATATTTTGTTACATTTGAGCTGGTGCGTTTGCGTTCACACTGCACTGTGCAGTCGAACCAACCTGTTGAACCAACCTGTTCCCCCGCTCGCCTGTGGGGGCGCTGCACCAAGAACTACTGAAAGAAATTACACAAAAACCTCTGAAGACACGTCTTCTTCTGGAAATATAAACAAAAATGGAGTGGCGTCAAATTTTAGCAGTTTTAGGAGTTCTATTTTGTCATTTTTCAACAATGGACTCGGCATGAGCAGAAGATGAGGCAGAAGATCATGGAAAATGTTGTTTTTCACACAAGGCAGCTGACGGCTCCATATGAGGTAAGAGAAATGCGTGTTTGTTTGTCCTGCGCTGTACTCCACTTCCTGCTTGCGGAGCGGTGATTACATTCACACTGTACTCGAACCACGCTAGAGTTTTCTTCTACCGGACCAAGACCTAGGTTTTTAGGCGGGCCAGAGTTCCCTTTTTGCTACGTGACCGAGTTCGATGACGCGTTCACACCTCCCTAAACGAACCGGACTTCCTAGGCAAACGGGCTAGAGTTCAGGACAACAGGGCTGGTGTGAATGCACCCTAAGATATCTGTTCTTTTAACTGTACTTTTTTCAATACTAATTTTATAATTAACATCAATTCTAACAAGGAGAAAATTACATTACACATTAAAGTACAAATCCTTGAGTTTTATTTTTTAACTTGGGTATTTTTCCCATTCCAAGCAGTTTTCTTACATAAAAAAAGTCAACAAATGTCCAGATCAAAAGAACAGTTGCAAACCAGTGACAGGTCAGTGTCTAATGCTCACTGCTACATACTTTTCACTTAGCAGGTTTTCTTCAGAAAATTCAACATGTCTGATTTCTCTGGACACAAACAAGCCCACTCCTGGCTGATGGTGTCTCTAGCAGTAGAAAATGTTCATTCTGAGGGTGTGGATGATGATTGTTGCACACACAGATACCTGGTTGCCAGTTTGTTAGCACTGACATTGTGTCCCTCACATTCCACCAGCAGGTCACTGGATTCACTGAGGTTAGGGATGATGCAGACTTCTGTGCTTCTGTCTCTTCCTGAATCTTCTCTGTGGTTGTCTGGAGTTTAAGGCTCTTATCATCTCCCTAAATGACATCAGAACACAAAACATCAACAATAACATAGTTGTGTTATTATTGATCAAAAAACATCTAGACTGAGAGAAAAGCTCAACTGTCAACAAAATCCTTTAAAGTTTACTTACCTCCAACATGGAGCCTCCACTGTAGAAAAAGGCAGCCAACTTTTAACAACAAAGTTTGTGACTGTCCTGTGGCCCCCACCTCGCTGTTCTTTTGTCTGTCCTCCTCAGGGTCAGAGGCTCCTGTGAGGAGAAACAGTGAACATTAGGTGAACTGTTTAACCAGGTGACCAGATGGATGAGCACATTTTTACAAGCTAAGCTTCATCTGTTACTGTCAGTCTTTAGTTAGCTTTTGATTTTAGCTAGCTTCATAGCATAAAGCTCCACACTAATATCTTAAAGTTAGCGTTACATGGATCTTACTTTAACTCACCACGATGCACGTATTAAGTTGCAGTAACATTAACAAACGTAAACTTACCAGCTGAAATCCCAGACACAGCTCCGTCCTCGGTGCGAAGAGGAGTCGGGTGTCGTGGAGATTTTGAAATCAGGCCGTTCAGGCTCTGAAACACCCACAGGCTGACTTAAACGCTGAGAGGATGGCTGCGGTCTGCTGTTCTTGCAGTCAAACACGGAGCAACTTTACGCTCGTACACTGATTTCGTGCACGGTCAGGCGCATGATGGATCATTAGCACCCTGATCCATAATAAAATAAAATAAAAATAAATCTTGGAAAAAAACTAAACATTTTCTATTTAAATGTTTTATTTCATGGGAGCATTTATTTAATGGAATATTCATTAATCATTTTTAAATAACACTATTTATTTAATTTTGAATGAAATGACTCTCCATAAGGGAACAATGAATCCGAACTATACTGAAACACTAAATCTGAACAACAGTAACGTGTTTCCACCAAACTAACCTCTTAGATCAAACGCCAAGCACACCGCCTCAAAACTTTCAGACATTTATGATAAAAATCACTTTTTCTACATAAATTAATCAGACTTAATTAAGTTTATTGCACCTAAAGATATTCAAGCAGAAATGTTCTCTTTGCTATATGTTGTCAAGCACAAATAATAATATACAATAATAATAATTTTATTTAAAAAGCGCCTTTCATGACACCCAAGGACACTTTACAGTAAGAACAAAGAACCACAGGAATAAATTACAAAAGAATATAAAATGCATAAAGAATATAAAATACATACAGCAAATGATGCAATGCAAGCTGAAAAAAGGTGTCCACAATAATAAAAAATGCTTATGTGTTTAAGCTAGCTAAAAACAGGTAGCTAGGAGTATGATCACTTCTTGGCCCGCTGGCCCATCGGCTGCTTGCACCTACAGGGAAACAGTGATGTTTAAAAGATTTACCTTTGCTTCTCTGTACGAGTCTGTGATGAGTAGGTCCTCCCTCTGGGCTTCTTTGGCCACCAACCTGAAGCGGTGCAGCATCGCTGCTTTGCACAGACGGCTTGCCAGAGCAGAGCCACTCTTGAACGGAGAGCTGCAAGAGAACCAGTAACGTACCGTGTTCAGTCCTTATGCAAGCAAAGGTCAAGAGGTCAACCGGAGCCAGCAGAGAACAGACAAAGAAGAAAACATGGCAACCTTTTGTGATGTTGCTGTAGATTACCTGCTTTTTAAACTTTTTTTATTTATTTTTTCACTACTCAAAATTTCAGATTTTCCTGTAGATTTTTAAGTCATGGAGTCTCTCTAGTAGCAAAACTATTAGAACTATTAAAGGAGTTTGTGGTTTCAACAGGGTTCGAGTCTTGTGACTGAAAATTTGCATTCAGTGAAAGATCTGCAGTTCTACAGTCATCAATGTTTCAAGGTGCTCTTAATGGAAGTAACTTTGGGTTCACTGCTCTGTCCAAACACAACGTAAAGGGGCTGAACTGTAAACTTCATGACAGGGTGACCACATTTATCACTGATAGCATGACAGTTTATGAAATGTTTGACTCGCATGCGTCTGTGGGTTCTCAAACTGTAACCCCAAGACATAAATACTAATGTGTTCAACTCGACGTTGGATGTGGTCAGTGAACCAAACGTGAGCAGCGCATTGATCTTGTACATACAATCGATGTGGGGATGAAAACGGGAAATAAATTCTGAAAAAAAAAATTGGCATAATATTGGCATATTACATATTTTTCAGTACAAACACACCAGACAAAAAAACCCCTCACTTCAACTAGTTGGTAAAACATAAAATGACCCCGTTCTTCCCGCTTTGCATTCAGTGCCCACTTCCACCGAAGCAGCAAGAAGGGGTTGAAGCCAAGAGACCCCTGATGTGCCTTTGTGCCGTGAAGCAAGGTAGAAACAGTTGAAATGGTCAAAATATGAAAAGATAAGCTGGTTCCATGATTCAGTGTTATAGAGAGATGACATGGTCGGGTGGTCGCTAGATTAAACAACAAACAAGTTTAATACTGAGGAAAGAAGAGCAACATTACATCCATCCATCATCTTTACCCGCTTTTTTCTTTTTGTGTCGCGCGGGGGGGGGGGGGGGGGGGGGGGGGGTCACTGGTGTCCATATCCAGCAGTCACTGTGTGCAGCAGGGGACACCTGGACAGGTCTCCAGTCCATCACAATAGAGACAAACGAGACAACTACTCACTCTCTCACCTAGGAACAATTTAGAGCCATCTATCAGTCTAACACGAATGTTTTTGGTCTGTGGGAGGAAACTGGAGTACCAGGAGAAAACCCATGCAGCACGGAGAGAACATGCAAACTCCACCCAGAAAGGCCCCATGGCCAGGATTCGATCCGGTGATCTTATAGCTGAGAAGCGGCAGCTCTACCAACTGCCCCACCATGCCGCCCATTACATTCAATTTAAAAAAATTGGTTACCAGTTATAGTCATGTTTTAAAAACAATGAGTAGGACCTCAGCAGCATGTGTTGTGTTGCTCTCCACATGAACCCAGCAGAGTTCTGCTCCACAAATCTTTTGGTTTCTACGATGCTTGTGTCATGTCTGAATGCTCAAGTCTGTGCAGGACGTGGCCGGCTCAGTGACTTGTGAAGGATCAGACGTGGTATAAAGACAGACTGGACTTTGCAGCCATTTCACAGAACAGTTTTGTGAAAAACTCTTCTTACTCTTCTATGGTTTTGCCCTCGAGACCATCAACAACTTCCACAGAGCTGTCTCCTTCACTCCAGTTGATCCCAAAGGTTGGCTCCGAGCTGTCGGTGGCCACAGACGGCACCAGGCTGATATGTGGGCGCATCATGCAGTAAAACATGGGCAGCTGAGAAGTGATTCCTTCCACGCGCTGGTTCACAGAGATCTCCATACCACGGACTTCATGACAGCAAGAGTCACCTGTGTGTTCAGAATATATTATAATCAACAACGCATAGGTGGTCTAAAACTGACAAACTTTTTATTTTTATTACAAAGTAACAAGTTTTTAAGGATGTTCTGCAGCAGTAAAGTAGAAAAGATTACAAAGGTACACACACAAAAAATAAAAATACTTTGGCTTTTTATACTAAATATTGTGTAGTCTTTTTTGTCTGTTTGTTTGTTCCATTTGTCTAATTATCCTCTGTTGCAGAGCGTAGAGGAGGAATTGAAAATACCCTCGACCCATGTTGTGAACAAGAAAACTGGAAAAATAAGTGAGGTGCCGACTTCCATGTTGGTTTGTGGCTGCATCTAAGTGTAACAAAGGTCATCAGCAAAAATTAGGTTACCACTTCAAATCCAAGATGGCCACCACCATTCATGCACGCTCACAAATACACACACACACACACATACACACACCAACCACACCCATCAATGAGGAAACTATGCTTTCGATTTTATTCCTTTTACTTAAAAGTAGTACATAAGTGCTGTAAGGATACTTTTTGGGGATTATACTGCAGACAAATGAAAGTAAGCTCAGGTAAAATATGAAATATATGTCGCGTAGGCTTATCGGGCTCCTCTCTTGTGGAACCAACTTCCAGTTTCTGTCCATGAGGCTGACACATTGTCCAGTTTAAAGACTTTTCTTTTTGATAAATCCTATAGTTAGGGTTGGCTTGTTATGCTGCTATAGGCTTAGACTACCAGAGGACAAATGGACCTCATTTCTTATAATGAATTGTTAAAATTAAACGGTTTTCATTTGATATTGTTTCTATCTTAACATGCGACTCTTGACCTGCCATTGTGTAGCTGTTCCTCTCAAACCCAGCCGCTTGTCCTGAGCCTGGTTCTGCTAAAGGTTTGTTCCTCATGAGAGTTTTTCCTTTCCACTGTCGCCTTCATGCTCGCTCAAGATGAGAGTTCTGAGATAAAGTTTAACAGTTGAGCAGTCTGCTCCTCAGATAAATAGTGTTAAATTATTATTTTTATGTATGAATGTTTCTGTTCAGTGCAGTGATGAATTATGTTGTGACTTGGTGCTATAGAAATAAATTGAATTGTATACTGCCTTTGTGTATTTTCAACATCATCCCAACTCATTCTGTTCTGGGTTGTACCCTCAAAATTTCCACCCATATTCGCAGGTACTACACCTGGAATTTCCCTTTTTAACTTATTCTGGACAACTGTGACTGCTGTTGCAGATGGGGATATAGGAGAACAAAATCGAACCTGGAAACCATGATACTGCTACACCTTTTGATGTTGTCTTGACACACGGGGAATTTCTTGGTGCTTGCAAGCACCCATTTAAAAACTGACAAGTGCAAGCAAATGCAATCTCCTGTGTTTTAGGATGAGGGCCCAAGTTTAAATGATAAACCTCCCCTTGTCTTTGAAAATAAAGTTTATCTAATTTGTGTCAAATCATTTTCTCAGTTTATTTTACTAGAATTAATCCAGATTATTATGCATTTTTAACCACACAAGAAATCCATTTGCTGATGTGTTAAATCTTCAAACGATTCACAAAGGTGGCTTTAGGATTAACCTTTTATTGGATAAATGAAGGATAAGCAGTGCCTCCAAGTCTATAGCTTTTACTTTTTGTGATGATATCGAGGGACCGTTCTTAAAAAAATTACAAAGTACACTTGTTAAGTCCACAAAGAAAGACCCGACTTGCCTACAAGGATGCTTTGGACATAGACAGGCTCGATGAAGTGGCTGAGCAAAGCTCCTTGGTATCCCAGCACCTGCCATTGAGTGATTTTGTCTGTGGAGGACATGCTGACCATGCTGCTAGCAGAGTGACCGAGGCCTGAACAGAAAACTGAAAAAACCTTTGGAAGAAAGATCCATTTTAAATTTAGTAGCAATAGTAATCGCAACAGCAAACAAGATTAATTATATTGACCAAAAATACTAATAATAATGCATTTCTATTCCAATTTCCAGGGAGAGCAACAATACCTTGCCCTCAACTGACAGGTGTAGACTGATTTCATTCTTGACTTGCCATGCTGAAATGGAGAGAGGGTTCAGACGCCTGAGAAAGTACAGAGAGATGATTGACACTTCATAAAGACATTATTGTTTTTAATCCAAAAATGTGTTACTCCAGAGGACGTAAGAGGTTTGAAAAGAAATGGTCAAATTGTAAGAGGTACTATTTCTGACTTCCATTTCCATGGCAGCAGCACAACATTGTTCTGACAACACAAGATTCGATGTGGAGCCACAGTCTGAAGACAGCTTCTGTCGTAAACATTTGTGGAGTTACAACATGGACAACTTACTGTAGCTTGTCTTACGGATGGACAATTAGGGACAACCTAGGGAAAAAGGGTTTGTCGTTTCTGTTACTGGAGTATCAAGCCTGAATATAAACAAGGTTTTAAAAAAGGGGTCCCCTGTGACCTTGATCTCTGACCTTGAAATCAATAGAGATCATCCCATGAGTTATCAGGTAGTTATCAGTTCAGAGCTCAGACAAGAAATTGTTAAGAGACAGACAGAGTTATAACATATTAACATTTTAAGACAGGAGTGTATAAAAAAAACTGTTGAATCTGTAATGTAAAAAATGAAGTTTAAATTTTTTCTGGAACCTGTTAAATGCCATAAAGTCACAGTCAATAATAAAACTGCATAAGAAATTTAAGGCAGACTGTAAAAACCATATATACGAAGAAGTTTTTAAAGGCATCAAACATTTAACTGCACAAACCTCGAACAGGACAATAAGGAATGAGCAGTGAGCAAATCCAAACAAAACTTACAACTTTGAAGGGATCTGAGATGCACCCTTCGGCAGTTGATTCACGTAGAGGTAAAGAGTAACGCCACTTTTCAGACTGAGGAGGCTGCTGCTGCTGTTGTGCTGGAAGACTGATTTCTCATTCAGGTTGGCATTCTTGCTGAAAAACAGCAGCAGGTGACGGTACAGAAACCTGGCAACACAGAATGACACACGTGGTTATCAGTGTGTGTAATTACATGCCTTCTCAATAACAGGTGGCAATTTTGCTGCCTGCTCAAGTATCTGGCTCCGCCTACTCTTGACTGACTATTTCTTTTTTCTTCCTGTGGAGTCAATCGTGTTTTCTCTTATCCATATTTTTGTCTGTTTGTCGGTCTAAAACAGGTCTCGCTTGTAAATCAGTCCCTGAGGCTCAATGTGATTAAACTGTATGAATAAAGGTTGAATGAATGAAAAAAAAATTACGCTCCGACACATGATAGTCACATGACCTAGCAGGAAAGACACAGCCTCTCAGAGACTATTTTAATTTGTCTGAAGTACAGACTTTAAACTACACTACCGTTTTTAAGTTGTGTTGACAGGGCAAGTAAACCAAAGTTAAGATAAATGATCAACACCACATCCTTTTCTGAAAACCATTGTCATATGTGAAGCGCATTAGAGCAGAGGCTGCAGCAAAGACCGAGGGACCCCCCCCCCCAATCACCCTACACTTTAACTCCCACCCCCGCCGAACAGATAACCTCCCCCCTACTTTCTGAAGGAGGCGCCAGCGTCTTTGCCAAAGCACCAAAAAATTCACAGGAAGAAAAAAAAAAACGTGAAAGTTAAGCACGATAAAGTTACAGTGAGAGCGGGAGTGAGTCATGAGGTTTGAGAGATTAGTGACATTTAGCGTGTTTGGGTTTTATAGTTAAGAGTTTAGTGTGTTTAGCGTTTAGTTTGGTCAGATTTAGTGTGTTCGAGTGAAAACAATGAGATGATTTTTGAACGTAAAGCGAACTGAGCTGTGGACCCACAATAGGACGGAACCACCGAGTCAGAACCTCTCAGACAGAGGAGAGGATCGTGAAGGAGAAAAATAATGCAAGTCAGACAGAGAGGACTTGGTTGATGAAGAGGGTGATCATCCTGATTCATTTTAGACGAGGAAGAGAGCGGACTGAGCCCCACTGATGCTCCACTAATGCCCCATTTGCACTGCTCCTCAGCCCCAACTCTACTCGGCCCGCCACGTAAAATTCGGTATTCCACAGTACTCTTTACCTGACTGGAGGCTGATTCGAGACCTTGTTTTGTCCCTGCTCCTCTGGTGGGACCGTGTGAGCCGAGTCGGGACCGAAACGTGAATGCAGGACACTGACTGGTCAGGGGGAGGAGTCTCAGAAACTTTTCACCGATCCACCAGAGTTCCACCTACATTTTTGATGTCTGTTCAGGGAGTTGAACCGGCGACCTTCCGATCACAGGCTCACCTTCTCTAGCCTCTGCGCCACCACTCTCTCCTGCGTACGGCTTGTACACTTGTGAAAATGTTGAAAATTGTGAATCACCCCTAAACTCTCCTGAAAATGTCAAATTTTATGCGTTCACTTTCCCAACAACTATTCTGACACAAACACTGTAACCTGTAAACCAATACATCTATGAGGAAGTCCTAATTAGTGTATAAAACGTTGTCTATAAAAATATAAATCTAAGACACTACTTCATGTTCAGTGTACCTCCACTACAGTAGTCCCTCGCTACTTTGCGGTTTGTTTATCGCGGACTTGTTGTATCGCAGTTTTTCAAAGTAAGATTGGACATGACACAGTTGGTTGATTGATGGATGAGCCATGAATTGTTTATTTAAAATAAAGTATTATGATTTTGCACCAAGTGTGCAGCCCACAAGTGCAGGGGAAGCTCCCTCCTGCAGCCCGTCATGATCTCCACTCTCTGCCACGCACACACATTTCTCCTGCAGCAACTTTGTGAAGGGTTAACCCTTTGCTGTCCAGATGCACCGATAGACTTTTGTCTTCCAATTTAAAATTCAATGTTTGTCACATCATAAAATCATTATAATCACAAAATATAAAAGTGTTAAGTTATTTTTAATTATTTTAGAACTTCTATGTTCAGTTGTTTCGGTGTAATTGATCAAGAAGTACAATTCTGCTCCGTGCTGCAGAGCTGCATGAAGCTGTGTGACTAGGCCTGTCGCAATAAACAATAAATCAATTAATCGCAAGATTAATGAAAATTATCAATCTCATTTTCATTTATTGGCTTTATCATTTCTTCGTGTCTCTCTCTTTCTACTGAAGACACTGGATGATAAAAGGCTCAACTCTGGTGCTCCTCACCGACGCCTCCCTTTCTCTTTTCTCTTTAAAATCCATTTTAATCGTTAAAAGCAGCTAACCAGAGAAGCTAAGCTACGAGCTAAGCTAAAAGGTCGACCTTGGGAAAAAACGTTGAAGCTTTAAAATTCACAGTTGAAACCAGCGCATTCGTGTAAAAAGTTGTTTATCTCTACAAAAGAAGCTAAGAACTTGTTCACTGATTTTTTTAATTAGAAGCATTGTGTGACAAATGCTACGCTAAAGAGCTCAAACCACACCGAGCGTCCGTCATTTTCAGAACCGAAGAGACAGCCCATGTCATGTCAAGGGGACTCCCTCCTGTTTTTTCTTAAAGAGACACGCTGCTCACTCCCTCACTATCCATCCTTCAGTTCAAATAGTCTTGTACTGCCATCAGTGGTCAAAAAAGTTACTACACTCAAAACAAATTAACCAACATTTCTTCTTAAAGTTACAATAATAACCAAATATTGTCAGATTTCAAATAATAATATTGTTTATCGCAATAATTTTTCAGACAATTAATCGCCCAGCAAAATTTGTTATCGTGACAGGCCTATGTGTGTCATACATTTGATGTCCTGCTGAACTTCTCCATGCAGCATGGATTGTTTATTTAAAATGTTACAGTATTTCAATTTAAATTGTTTATTTAAGGATGGATATTCGGAGTAACAGGTGATGAGTGAATGTGATTACAGCCTGGCATATGTCATGACAAAGTTTAATGAACTACTGTAGCTCTACTTTGCGGTTTTTCACTTATCGCAGGTCGGCGTGGTCCCAAACATCTGCGATAAACAAGGGACCACTGTAACTCTAAATAAAATATGTGAAAGTATTTTTACCTAAATAAATAAATAAGCTAGTTTGTCTGTTACTGACCTCATTAGAGACCTCCGAGCGGTGACAACGGCATGTGAATCATGCACAGTCCGTCCGTTTGAGTCGCCGCACTCTTTAGCGTTGAAGTTCCCAGTGCCAAGAGCAACCACTTCACATCCACTGGCTAATGGGAGGAACAGAGTGGAGTTTAGACTCAAAAATGGCTCATCTGGTTTTAGGATTGCACCGTTTTTGTAGGATGTGAATTGCATTACTCATCTACGTAAAAAGACATCACAAGTTTATTAAAGGAGTCCCAAGTTATCAAAACCACTAAAAACAAACAAAAAAAAATTTCAAACTAATATAAAAACAGACATGAAATTTTTAAAACAGTCTCTTAGACATCTTAACTTACAAGATATTTGAACATTTTATAAGTAAAACCAGTGAAGTGAGGTTTGCATCTGCACAGACCTGTTTGACGGACATTTGTTCTCTACACCTGTCCACAAGAATCTCTGAGACCATGTGCAGCACATAATTAATTTTCACGATGTATGGATTAGCAATAACAAACCGTCTACTCAAAAAATGGCTATTAATCCTTTATTTGACCCAGAGAAACTCATCAAGATTAAAAATCTCATTTACAAGAGTACCCTGGCCAAAACTGGCAACAAAACACAGTTTCATAAAACAAACTATAACAACATTTATAATAATAATAATAACAACAATAATAATAATAATTGCATGTTCCCATATAATGGCAAAATTAGTTATCTACATTTAACCCATCGCATCTGGGAGACACCCAGGTGGAGCAGTGGCTATGTAAGCACCCGGGGAGCAATTAGGGATTGGGTGTCTTGCTCAGAGACACCACAAGAAGTGGGAATGGCTGGGGATTGTACCCGAGGCTTTTGGGTCCCAGGTCGGCTGCCCTACCTCCACCCCATCTTGGCCCCCATTTAACATTTATAGTGTGGTGTGTGCAGTCCAGTCAAGGAATGTCCAGATCTCTATATTGGAGAATCCAGTAGAGAGCCAGCTCCTCAGGACAAGACTCAGCGGTTCACCTACACTTCAAGGATAAGGGACACTCTTTAGAAAAGACAGACTGAAGGAGCTATACTGAGAAACCTTTTCAATGCGAATGCCTTGAAATGTTTCAACTGGTTGGAAATCGCATGTCTCAGTCTGAAAGTTAGAGAACATCGTCATCTTGGTTTTGTCTGCATTTAAAACAAGTTTTAGGTTCTTTACATTGCTCTGGGCAATGTTGAAGGCTGATCGTAGACTGAGTGCTTTGCTTGGCGTTGAAGCAGCACAATAAATAACATGATGAACACAGATGATCGCTGGAACAGATGATCCAGAAAAACACTTGAACCTAACTACGTACGTGTTAGAAAGGTCCATTTGGTTTGTAGACACAGAGCCTAGTAGACATATGTGTGAACCGAGTCATGTAAAAATGTATTTTGCAAACAGTTTATCCCGAGTGGTGCACATTCCAGTTTTGAGAACTACAGCAGTAGAGCATATTGATTCTTCCAATCTGGTATTGTATAATTTCACATTACATGAAGTACCAAGTTGCACTTTTTTCCCAAGTAAACGCACATTAAAACTTTACAGTATATACTTACACGTTTGCATAATAAATGCTGCTGTTGTACTTGCACAGCTGGAGAACTGTGGGTGTCCGTCCATCAGTTTAGTGAGCTGATCCCTGACAGCGTGTGGAATCTGAAGGTTGGCCGAGTTCTTTCTTTCTGAACCACAAAATTATGAAATGGGTAAAAATCAAAATCGTCTTTACGATAAATAATTTAAGACTATTTTAATAAAAGTACAGTTTATGATGAGTTTGCACCTTCTCTATATATGCCAACACTCTGGTTCAAGGGATTTTCTTCAAACACAAAAAATATATATTGAGGTACGTATGAGCACACCGAAGTTTATATATCACAAATGTGGTCTAGGGTTTAGAGATAATGGTTAAGCAAGTAGCTATAAATATATTATCTTTGCTTGCTCCTTTGGAAACACAAACTGCAGAAGCAAAGCCACAAGATGATGTGAATAATGTAATCAAAGCAACACCTCTTGCTAATGTGCATGTTTTTACCTTTAAGATTTAAGCTCCCAGTATACTCCCGCGTCCGTCTGTCCGTGCGTACGTACGCGTGTACTGTACGCAGAGGGTTCAGACTTCATACTCGAGCGTACACCCTGAGCGGCTGCAGTCAGCTCCACAGACAAGGGGGCGTTTACCTTCGGGACAAATTGAGGTCACCGATTGGTCATTTGCTGACGCGCCCACTGGATTGATTGACAGGTCAGAAAAAAGAAGAAAAAAAAACGAGCGCTGGCAGCCTCAACCGCAGCGGTGTTCTGTGTTGTAATAAAAAGATCTTTTTTTTTTTTAAACAGGGAGTGCTGGTCCTGCAACCCACACATCAGACCAGCCATGAGGAAACCTCCAGACCTTCCCGCAGCCATGCTGGACATGAGTTTAATTCGCTCGTGACAAATTCCTTCATTTCTCACAATTTCAGTCATGGCATCAACAGAGGAGGAAGAGATCACTTGCCTTTTGGCATAAAAACAAAAGAAAAGGCCAGATCAGGGATGAAGGAGGAGAATTTAATACATTGGTGTTGCATACAAAACAGTCAGTCGCTGGGCAGTTTATTGTGAGACCGGTCGTAAAAATTGAGCTTTGTGCAAACATGCCCTGCGGGGGTACGCACGCACACGAGAGTATACTGGGGGCTTAAGAAGCACCAATGCTGTTAATGTGAAATATTTGGAAAGCAAAAGTGTAAGGAGGTCCCCGCCATGCAGATAGGAAGCAAGGGAAGTCAGTTATAACAGAAACCGAACAATGGATTATGTAATCTTTGAGACAAATTATTTGTGTCTCTGGATAAACTTTCAAACGATAAGTAATGGAGCAATCTCTCAATGTAATGTTGTGACCAGTTTTTTTAATGTTATTCTTTTGTTTGAAAACCATTCAGCCCTCTGATGTAATGATACGGAGATCCAGATTTACCGTAGAGAACTCTGGAAGGGTGACTGCCACATAGCGAGGGTTGTTCTTTTACTGGCAAAGGTGGAGCGACATCTAAAAAACAAAAGTTATGGAAAAAGAACAAGAGTAAGTGACAACTAACAAGACATTTGACTTGTTGTATGCACAAAGTAATTATCATTCTTGACTGAAGAAGTCTTTCGGATGAAAGATGATACGTTTTTACTTTTTTTTTGTTTTGTGAAAGTCCAGAGGACCAGACTTAACTTTTTTAGATATCATTCTTGACCATTTGGTACTTGTTTACTTTTTTCTACTCTACAGCTAAGTTTAGCCACCACCACAAAAATCCCTTTAAATTGTAATCCAACTGTTGGCAACCTGAGGTCCGTGAACATCAACTTAGCAGAGACCAGTCTAGAATGATCCATACTAACAGTTGAGTGTCCGATTAGGAAGGATTATAATCATCAATGTCTCTAAAAAGATCCCCCATAGGGCATAAAGAAAAGACAAATTCTCCTTTTTAAATTCACAGTTACCTTCTGTTTAAGCACTTTTCGCCCCGCTCGCCGCAGGACGGAGGTTCAGGAGCAGTAAGTGTAGAACCACTAGACTGAGGAACAGCTTCTACCCTGAAAATGTTTCTAACCAGGCTAATCACTGTAATGCCGCTTCACATTTTATCTGTGCTGCTGATTTCGTACCCATAACCTGCTGTATTCATACTCATCTGCTCACAACAGACTCATGTTCAGGCTGCTGTTTAATACACCTCATTATATTATTATTGTTTAGCGTACATCTTAGATCCTTGTATACCGTTTCTTTTTTAATAGTTTATATTATTGCTATTTTTGGGTGTAACTGGGACCTTGAGTACAAAACTTTGTTCAAGCTCGTACCACGTGATGCGATTGACAAAGAACCTTGAAGTGGCCGCTTGGCAGCACTCACTTTCAACTTCCACACGGTAAACATTTTTGAAAGGTCCAGCTATGATTCTTCATGACAGCAGTGCTGACAGAACAGATTCATTAAAAATAAATCAAGTTTATTCTTAAGACCTACCCGTAATCACGTCACATCATTTAGATAAGGTTTTAAGATTTATACAAACGTTAAAAGCACTGAAACTGCCTTTCAAACCAGAAATATATTGACTCGTTTATTAATCCCTAGGTGAGTTTTCACAAGCCTAAAGGTCAGCCATTAATGCCTATGTAATATTATAACAGTCCCATTTGTGCCATCAAAAAACCTTTCAGATCAGAGGTTTTTGTGCAGACAAAACATATTAAAATATTCCTAATACTGATAAAGTTTAAAAATTTTAATTGGTATAGTTTTAACTAGTCTTTTCTGTGGAACATATAAAATTTGTGTTCCAGACATTTAAAGTCTCTCACTTAATTACTACTTAATTTTGAATGTCTTGTCTGCGAGAAGAACCTACTGAGGAGATGAATTTATATATTTAAATAATAAAATAATTTATAACCATCAACAATATCAGAATTTTTCGATTAACCAAACACTGACCGGTTGCTTCTGGGAAAACAGACTTCTGACTTTCCATGGTGGGCAAAAAATCCTCCAGAGCGAGCTTTGCTGCGCTGAGACGAGCTTCTTTCTTGGTTAACCCGATGCCAGTTTTGTACTCAATATCATCAATCACAACACAAAAAGCAAAATGAGACCCCGGTAAATTCTCTGAAAGAGACAAGAGGAAATGTGTCACTTTATCAACTGATTGCAGATCCTCTTTCAACCAGTTTGTACAAAGCAGTCAAAATTTTAGCATTATGCAAATAACCTGCAGGTGAAGAAACAGTTGTTTTTTTTAAAGTAAAATTTAAATTTATTTTATTCCAAATATTCACTTGATCTTAAAACACTCATAACTCAAGCAAAGACCAAATTTTGTTTTAATCTTATCCAAAAATAGTCAAATATTTTTACATAACAGCATTTAAGAACATAATTTATTTGTTCTTGCTTTACTTATGTAAAATCATCTTTTTTCCAATGCACGCACAAAAACCATCCATTCATTCATCCATCATCTTCTACACACTTCTTCCTTTTTGAGCTGCCTTCATACATCTCCTCCTACATGTCTCTGCGTGAGTGCAGCTACAGCGTGCGCTCTCAGGACATTATTACCTGCAGTGTTCCCTCAGTGAGGACTGAACTAGGCAAAAGGACCTTCTCCTACTCCGCTCCTGTTTCCTGGAATATCTTACAAAAAGACATGAACTCTCGACCTCTGACCTCTCTAAGTGGCTTTAAGAATCTGTTGGACTCCTGCAGGGACCAATGCAGACATGTTACTGTTTTTAGTTTTCTACATTAACCTTAGAATCTAGCTGTTTTTTGTTACTTTTCTTTTTTTTAGCCATCCTATTTGTTAAAAAATATTTAAAAAATCTGTAAGACTTTTTATAAATATTGTTGTAGCTGTTGTCATCATTCTTTGTTGAAATCAGGTCTCTCTTGTAAATGAGTCCTCGAGGCTCAATGGCATTTACCTGTCTAAATAAAGGTTGAATGAATGAGTCACTTAATTGTAATGTTTGCTTTTCAAAAATAAAACATGCTACACAGCCATGCAGGATGGGTTTTACCTGTGGTCACAGTTTCTTTAAACTCGAGGTGGAACTGGAAAACCTGGGCAAGCTGATGGATCAGAGATATTGCGTTTGTTTCACCTTTCTTATACCGTTCTATCAGTTTCTTGTGAGAGGTTTCTGGCTTGGCACCTTATTTGGCAAAATAAAAAGACAAACAGAAATTAAAATTTTCCACACACGAAGGCTAAACGTCCTGATGGATGCTCAATAATCCTGGTAGAAAAATCCAACAAGGTTAAGTTAGGTCCTCTGGACAGTTTCTTTTTGTTGAAAGGTTTCACCTTTCATCCAAGACTTCATTAGTCCGAGATCCTGCAGCAAACTCAGGCTCTGTTTACACGAGGACCAACACTGGAAACGTTGTGTTTTTTCAGTGTTAATTGGAGATGATAAACAAAAAATGTGTGGGTTTACATGAAAACGCTGTAGTTTCCATGTCAGTCAAGTTGCCAGATAAGAAATTAGGAACTGCAGCACTGTGGCTTTAAATTTATACTATTTTTACATTAACTGTCATATGTGCTGAGTAAGCATGTTGTAAGATGAGGTGTGCACTGCTTGGTGAACATGTGCACAGAAACGGAGGGGGTAAATAAGACATTTTAAATTTACCGGTATCTGTCAACTAGGAATGCGCGATATATACAGTACATGGTAGAAACAAGACATTTAACCTGCGATACAGATCTGTCTTCTACCGGTTAACCGCAGCAATGCTGTGTCTGATGTAAAATCAGAGTTGTCAGATTTAATCTTTTTTTGTTGTTGTTGAAAACTGGCACGTCTTCCACTGAGGAAGCGGAGCCTGGGGACTCTGGGTCGGGCCCTCCAATCTCTGGTACTGAGGTCACCGAGGTGGTTAAAAAGCTCCTCGGTGGCAGGGCCCCAGGGGTGGATGAGATTCGCCCGGAGTTCCTTAAGGCTCTGGATGTTGTAGGGTTGTGTTGGCTTACGCGACTCTGCAATATTGCGTGGACATCGGGGGAAGTTCCCCTGGATTGGCAGACCGGGGTGGTGGTCCCCCTATTCAAAAAGGGGGACCGTAGAGTGTGTTCCAACTACAGGGGGATCACGCTCTTAAGCCTCCCTGGTAAGGTCTATTCGGGAGTTCTGGAGAGGAGGGTCCGTCGGATAGTCGAACCTCGGATTCAGGAGGAGCAGTGCGGTTTTTGTCCTGGTCGTGGAACACTGGACCAGCTCTACACTCTCAACAGGGTCCTGGAGGGTGCGTGGGAGTTTGCCCAATGGGTCTACATGTGCCTTGTGGACTTGGAGAAGGCGTTCGACCGCGTCCCTTGGGGAACCCTGTGGGAGATATTCTGGGAGTATTGGGTACCGGGCCCTTTGGTATGGGCCGTTAGGTCCCTGTATGACCAGTGTCAGAGCCTGGTCCGCATTGCCAGCAGTAAGTCGGGCTTGTTCCCGGTGAGAGTTGGACTCCGCCAAGGTTGCCCTTTGTCACCGATTCTGTTCATAACTTTTATGGACAGAATTTCTAGGCGCAGCCGAGGTTTTGAGGGGATCCGTTTTGGTGGCCTTAGGATTGCGTCCCTGCTTTTTGCAGATGATGTGGTCCTTTTGGCTTCATCAGATCGTGATCTACAGCTTTCGCTGGAGCGGTTCGCAGCAGACTGCGACGAGGCCGGGATGAAGATCAGTTCCTCCAAATCCGAGGCCATGGTCTTGAGCCGGAAAAGGGTAGAGTGCCCTCTCCGGGTCAGGGAGGAGGTCCTGCCCCAAGTGGAGGAGTTCAAGTATCTTGGGGTCTTGTTCACTAATGAGGGAAAAATGGAGCGTGAGATTGATAGGCGGATAGATGCAGCGTCTGCAGTGAAGCGGGCGCTGTACCGGTCTGTCCTGGTGAAGAGAGAGCTGAGTCAAAAGCCTAAAGAAGTCTTTTGGATAAAAGACAAAACGTTTCAACAAAGAAGAATCCATCCAGAGGACCTGACTTAACCTTGTTGGACAAGGGCTAAACCTTTCTCCTGCAACAGATAATAATAATAAATTAAAAGAACTGCAAAGAAGACTAGAATTAAAAGGCACGGGAAGCACTGAAACGATTATTTAATTCATGTGGATTCATCAGAAAATGGACAAACGCCGAAAAAAGTTACATGTGAAATTTAAGAAAATCATAATGTCAAGCTTACCAGGTTTCCTTGACCTGTTCACTTGTTTGTCAACACCGTGACTGTCGGCATCATTCATGGTAGATGGTTGTCTGTATGACTGCTTCAGTTCTGAAGTCGAAAGTGTGTTTTTTATAAGCATTTGTGCATAACTGGCTCCTCTAGAACCTCGAAACGACCCACCAACCGGAAGCATCCTGCAAGCTTTCACGAGTTCTGAGAAGAAAAGAAGAAAGCACATTTCATTAGAAACTAAAGACCATCATAATTAAAGACCACTTACAGGTCTGGAAGGACAACAACCCGATTATCAAACTCTTTCAAGAAAAAAAGACAAACACAGCAGTTACATGTTAAAATTGATAATAAATTTGGTGCAAGCAACACAGTTAAATAAATAAAAAAAACCTCCGATATAAAATTGATAACAATTACTAACAAATTTGTTGGCAGTATTCAGTTATTGACATTTTGAATGAGCCGGAACTAGCTTGTCCTCGTGCGCATACGTTAATTCCTTATGCTAGGTCGCGTTAGCTCATTTTATTTTCCAAGAGAAACTGCCGCTTCTAATAACGTTTTTTCCGTTTAATTCATCAATTTGATTCACAAGTCCTCTTAACTTTCGTGTACCACGAGTCCAACAAAACATAAACCAAAATTTAAACTGCAAAAAACGGTTTAGCTACACGCTAAACAGACGCGATGAATTAGCATCTATATTAGAAATGTTGTTTTTTCCTCGACGCTGCTTAAACTACGAGACTACAAAGTCAAAATCAAACACAATGCTTATCAATTTCACCTGTTCTCGTTCGACAAAAAGACTCAAATGCTCAATTTGCCACCCGAAGCAAAGCGCGGTCTTCAGAAGAACAACACCAAGTCCAACGTTAACGTTCAAGTCTGAAACCTCTGGAGTATGAAAGGCGCCGCTACTGCGCCAAAGATCCTCTGTTCGGCGAGATGGTTTCACGGTTTGAGGAAAAAAAAAAAAAAGCTCAGTGATTGTGGAACTTATTTGTAGTACAGGATTACTTCTGTATCAAGTGTCAAAGTGCTTTGACTTTTAGCTTTCTGTAATGTTTGGGTCTTATAATCCTGAGGACGCAACAGGAAGAACATCCCACATAAAACAATTTAAAACCGCACTTTGATTGTAATTCAGGGAGCAGCTGAAAGAAGAAAGTACGTTTTAATGTGACCATTAAATATTTTCACCATGGAAATACGAGCTCTACAATTCCTTCTAAACATTATTCGCTTGGAAGTCTGCGTCAGGCTTGCTCTAGTCTTTTTTTTTCTGCTGTTATTTTGGTCTTGGCAGGCTTTACTTATTTTATTTATTTATTTTTGGCTTTTAGCTACTGTACTGTAGGTACCTTTGGCTGTTTAGCTCATTTTTGTGTTCTTACACTAGCCATCCTTTTGAGTCACCCTTATTAACTTCTAGCAATCTAGCTATTTCTAGCTTTAGCTTTCTACAATTATAGCTAAAATTTTCTTCATTTAGCTAACATGTTGCTATTTGGAGCTTTTGCGTAGCCGTTAGCTACTTTTAGATACTAGCTAGCATTTATTACTTTTAACTAGTTTTATTCCTAGCTCATTGATACTTCTAGCTTTATCTTGCATTTCTGCCATTTTA